CAAAAATTTAATTTTGATCTGGAAAACGGAAAGTGGAAGGAAATCAAAAANAAAAAAAAAAATCTAATTAAAGCGTATGCATGAAGTTGAAGAAGAGACAATGTAACATGCGAGACTTGCCCGTTTCTGCAATTATTTACTTGAATTTCCTGATTTACCCTTCTATTTGAGTTTGGTTTAAAAATAGTAAAAAAAAAAAGTTTCCGTTTTTACAGCTAAAATAGCAGAAGCAAACGCAGCTGTTTTTGTCTATTTATGCCAAAAATTTACGTGTAACCATGTAATGTAAGGGTATTTTCGGAATTTTCAAGCTTTGCTTGTTGTACAAAAAGTCTTTTGAGGATGGGTTTTTTTTTTATTTTTGTTGTAACGACGAATGAACAAAAAAAAGAAACGTTGTCCAACAAAAATGAGAGAGAGAATGTTTATAACATCATTTTGCTGTGAGTTTACAGTACGTGACAGCCACGTACTAGTCCAAAATACAGGTTGTTTAATTTACCCTAACCGATCAGTAACTTTATCTCTCTATGCGCAAAAATAACAAATTAGTTTTTTTTTGTTTTTCAAGTGAAGATAATTAAATTAAAATTAAAGAAAAGGTTCAATTCAATGTGGTTTGACCATATTACAAGTTATTTCCCAACAGATTCAAAGTACTTTGATAATAGATGAATGAAGCTTAAATGCATTAGAATCATTATAGAGTAAGATAACCAAATTGCGACGTGTAATTAATTTTGAAAACTAAGGTTTTTTTTTATCCTTTTAATTTGGAGCTTTCTTAGTTAGAAGAAAAGAATATGAAAAACGTACCGTTGTGTTAGGAAGAAGAACAAGTCAAGATGCCATAAATTTGGCAAAAATGCATTACCAATTTAGAGATTTATATATTTTTTCCTTTCACATCTTTATTTTCTAAGATAAAACGCGGTTTTAACTTTTAACCTCAAAAAATCTTCATATAGTTAGGTGGTTTACAACAAAGAGACTTTACCAGTGATTAGTGAACTTGAGAAATCTTTATTTACCAAACTTGTGAAAAAGTTGTTTTAGGCTAATTGTGTCGTGTTATGTGCATCTTCTTCATTCACATGAAAACCACTTAAATCCGGTCTAAGGTCTCTATGTTCGACATTAAAAGGTGAACCAAACCGGTTTATATTTTAAAAAAAAAACTCATGGACTTTTCAAGTCCAAGAGACTACACCACTAAGCCCATATGAATACAAGTACATAAAAGCAATGTTTAAAATCTTCAAAATATTTTATAATATCCGTTACAAATATTACAACCCCATTTTTTTCAAACATTACAATTTGTTTGAAGAGGAATAAGCAATGAATCATTAGTGTTTCTTGTGAACGGGCTTCTTGTGAGCGGCTTTGATTTTGATTGGTGTGGCGAAGTTGATTTTGGAATGGTAAATANCACCGGGACTCCAGTTTTCCGGTATAACGGAATTAGCGACGAGAATTTTTTTGGTCACGGCGGAGGTAAGGCGGATGTTGAATGGACCTTTCAATGGAACGCCGGAGTTAAGTTTCCAAACGGCGGATCTCATTTCCTCCATTTTTATGTATTTTCCGCCCGCCGGTTGGACCTCAATGCACATAAAGTTTCCATCACCGTTTGCATACTTAATGGCGAATGACATGTAGTAAGGGTTTGCTCCGGCGTCGACATGGACAGCTATTTTACTCTTAGGGTGTTTGCAACATGCACTACATAAAATATTGATTAGGAATATAAGATATATTGTTGGATCAAGAAATTACCATGACATGCATGAAAAATTTATTCGGTTTATATACTTCTAATGTTAGCCAACCGTAACCAAAACAAAATTTTGTTTATTCATACTAACCAAATTGATCAAAAACTGAATTTAATGAAAATAGAACAAAGCCGAAAGCCACCAATTTTTTTATACTTTCAATTTAAACTATTCAATATATATTGTTGGTTATTTTCTATCAAAAAAACCCAACCGAACGGAACCAAATCTGGTTTTTGACAAACCGAATTAACAACAATACGTACCGTTTGTACTTAACAGTTAATTCTCCAAGGTTGCGTAATTCATCGCCCTTGCCATTTATGGCCAATGCACCAAAAGCCTTACCGCTAAGATCAAAATGGACCGCCTCCTTCGTGCAGCCGGGACATTCATCCGATATCATTACCTTGATCGGCTTTTTCTTGCACAACGGATGGTCGCATAGAATCTAATAACATATATATATATACATTGTTTGTACGTATTTAGTTATACACTACAATATGATTAATCAATTGATGTTATATATATAATACCCTATAGCATGCTCCACAACCCTTTCCATCTTTGTATATTGAAGGTCCTCCGGCTGAAATCATACAATTTATCGGGTGTTTTGCCACTGCATCTCCATAACCACAAGCTCCTCCTATATATTTTTGAGAACCGGTTTTTAAAAATGCAAAAATATATTGAAATTTTTTGATTTGTGGATTGGAAAAATTGATTTACCTGTGCTACCAGGACCTTCTCGGTCGCCGTACCACGTGATTCCGGCGGGGTTCCAATGGGTTTTATTATGGCAAAAACATGGCTTCAATGAGATTGCAAATAGAGCAACAACAAGACAAATATGTTTGCCTGAAAATAGAGCCATGTCTTCTTGAAATGATGAAGGTAGGTTTTGTATTTTTTGTTTTTGTTGTTGGGGAAAAACCAAACTTATATAGGTGTTAGATTTTCTACGAAAATGTAGTTATCCTATATTTTAGGAAAACAAAATCTTAAAAAAGCTTGCATATGATGAGTTTAGAAACCAAAGAAACAAAAAAAAACCATTACCGCTCAACAAAAGGTTTATTTTGATCAGTTTCTTCTTTTCACTTTTCTAAATTCTCTATTTTTTAACATCGTTATTATCGGTGGAGGACAACTTTAATGATTTAAATATATAAGGAAATGATGTAATTAAGTTGGAAATTAGACTAAGGTTCCTATAAATTATATAATGCGCATGATGTAGTTGCTGGTAAGGCCCAATAATAGGTCTCTTTGGCCCAATACCATATAAGCTTTCCAACAATGGTTTCACATCTGTAATGGGCTTGCGAACACAACGGTCAATTTATAACAGTAAGAGATAAAGACCGTTAAAACTATACGCAGAGTCAAGTAGGCTTTGAATTTTCACAACAGTAAGAAATAAAGACCGTTATAAAAAATAGCCGTTACAAGAAACTAATCTAAGTTGCCTATATTCTTTGAGTCTTGCCCAAAAACCTAGTTCCAAAAACTAATTCTTCTTCCTCTACTTTTCTTATCAGTCTGCAGATAATGAGAGAGAAAAAGTACTCATTCAAATTTGTCCAACTCAATTTCTGCTTTTCTGCTTTAAGATTGGTAAGGAACCTAATTAATCGTCAGTTTTATCTAAAATCGTCAGGCTTATTTGATGTTCTCCTCTCTTTTTGG